TGACAATGGTCCCATGCACCTCTTTTGAACAAGAATGACTGGTAGAAGAGAGTTACCAATGATAATGAGAATTACAGCCTTGAAAATCTGTCACTCTTGTTAGCTATCATGTGCAAGTAGCAGCATATCAAAATGACCATTGGAACCCTTTCAACCGGTAAAATGAAAATCATATGCTACTACTACTAGTAGGAGCTAAAATCGGGTCGCTATAAGTAGATACAACAAGTAAGTCAGGCTCTTTCAATCAATACAATCTTCATAATTGTATACGTTTATATGTATTATAATAGATCTGTTAAACAAAAAAAGAAGCATTGAAATCGGCCATATATTGAGCTTAATCCAACCTGAGAGGTGCATATTGTCATATTATTGTGGGACGGAGGTAGTATTAGTCTTCTCTTTTTCGTTGAGTCACGAGTGTGATCAATTGATGCGGAAGATTTTTAAGATTTCCTCAAAATGTTCAACTCTGTTTTGACAAAACTTTCAACRCAACACATCTTTGTTTTTGTTTTGTCCGAAGCTGAAGTTCTGCGAACGYGCCACAAGCTCGTTACAATCCTTTATCCAACAGCAATGATACACTACCAGAGTCGACAATACATTGCAATGAACCGTCGRCAATGTACCTCGCATAYAGCGCGAACATGTGCAGTGATGGGCGTTTTCGGSATTGTTGTAACAACGATGCTGTCGAACACGATAGTATCCGCCTTCTGTCCCATCAATAAACTTTTTCCTGGAAAATACACGATTTGCAACASCGACAGCAGGATTTTTACTGAAAAAGAGTTTGTCTTTTTYGCGACGACKGATGATTCGAGTGACGATACCACACTTGCTGTGGACGAACTTTTGGAACAAGTCGACGTGAAGGACGGAAAGAAAGAAAATTTGGACGAAGACAAGATCCGAGAATTAATGACGGAGCTGTCTTCGAACGCGGATCAATATATTTGGGACGAAACATCTTCATCTTCGCTTTTTGAGCCACTCATAGGATAYTACAATGTATCATGTACTATTACGGCGAAACCGAACGAYAATCCAGTCGGCGGGAAGTGGACCCGCGGACTTTGGACAGTCAAACGCACGATGCAACACGTATTGCCTCCCTTGCCAGYGGACATATCCTCGACCAGGAAGGATAGTGGAAAAGACGGGCTCTACGAAATGGATAGTGGCGTAGCGAAAGAAGATGCTGTCGCCGCTTTGGCTGTGGCTCAGGTAATTAATGCWATTAGGTTAGAATTGCTTTGGGGTTTCGTGAATATTTGGGTTTTGTTGAGAGGCGATGCTGTGCCCCTTAAGCAGGTCAAAAACATACCCACAAAAGCAACTGAGGAYGATTTGAAAAAGAAGAGGACTATTCCGAAACTWCTCCCAAATCTCTCAGACCGCACTGTMAAGGCCTACTTCGATCGTCCAAAGATCGGTCTAAGCCTGCAAGGCAGAAAGAAGTCAAACCCTCTGTTGAAGCGAGTGCTTACGCTGGGTCCCACATCGGCGGTTGTTTTGGATACGCCATATGCTGATACCCAGGTTCGTCTAGGCAAAGGAGGCACTAGCGGCTCGCAATTTGTCTTTCGTCGTTTGCCGGATACCGACAAGGAAGCCATCGAAGAATGGAAGTGGGTATTGGAAAAGTCGACGGCAAATTCCAGCCAGAGATTAACAAAGAATAAGCTCCTTTTTCGTGTGGGAATCTTAGGGGTAGCATTCAGCATTTTGTCAAGAGTCCTGCAGCAGCATTGGATGAAAAYGGGTGCCGCAGTGTCCGCAATTCTTTCGGGTATATCGATGATCGGTATTCTTAATAGCACAGGAGGAATAGAGACCAAAGGCGACACATACATGGTAGGAAAACAGTAGATACTTGTTGAGAGGTAATCATACCTGATCAGACTACACAACATTTATTTCTAATAACATCGACTTCGGAAACGATGTCTCAACTAGCCTCTAGTACGATCACATCACCAAAGCAAAAGTAGAGCGAAAGGACGGATCCATAKTAGAAAAGGACACAAAACGCGAAGGAACTTTGATGGAACCGTGTATTCCTGTTGGTACGATGTACGAAAGAAYAGTTGTACCAAAGCTCACAACCAAAATTGTTGATACGACGATGTACAATACAGAGGGGCCCAGGGTTGTTATAGGAAGCTATCATCGCACCTCATCACACAAATGTTTGGAAGAACAWAGACAAGTTGAAAAAACCGACGATTTCGTCACCGCCGAAAATGGCCTTGCTTGATCTAAAAAAACTTCAGAGGAATGCTACTCCAAAGCAGACATCAATTACACATCTCTGCCACTCAAATTCACAAATCATAAGACTTGTTTTGATTACTGYGAGTTTGCGTTCGTTTGACAAGCCTCGGTCAACGCAGAGTAGATAGTAATAATGGACACAATCCAGTCTACAGAGACGCCACAGTCTCGCAATGCGATCACTATCAGATAATTGTTGTTTTCATTTTCAGTGGGGCTCTATCATTTTATAAGAAGTAGTTTCAATTTCTTAACGAAGACGACGGGCTTCACGTTCCCATTCCAATAGACAGAGGATATCGTTCTCACGAACAGGCCCCTTRACATTTCTGACGATGGATCGCCCTGATCCCTGGCCGCTCTCGGAATCCATGAATTCGACACGGACCTGTGTTACGTTACCGGTGTTACCAGTACGTCCGAGGACCTTGCTGACCTTTGCGAGTTTAAAGCTAGTTTCCTGCAGAAAGAAGGTAAAAGAGGGNTGTGTTACGTTACCGGTGTTACCAGTACGTCCGAGGACCTTGCTGACCTTTGCGAGTTTAAAGCTAGTTTCCTGCAGAAAGAAGGTAAAAGAGGGTATGGGACGTGTGGGTGAGTGAAATGTTCTGTAGTACAAAATCTACGTGGGCCCTACGGTGCCGAGTAATGCGGTAACCTTCAAATGCGATAAACCGCCGAAATGACGMATTCCGCGAAATGTCGCCATGGTCGATCCCGAATGCTACCCATTAACAACCAAATCAAACCTGATCCGTTGTCATCTCTTTCGTCTGTCTCGACTGATGCAATCGACTCACCATCTTGGTATATTAAGCGGTTCTCGACAGTTGAATGTGTGAGTTTCAGAGTGGGGTTTGAACGTCGTCGATCTGGTAGGTTTTCACTTCACTATTGTTTTGTACTGTTCAGCGTAAACTTTGAATGCGTGTTCGACTTTTCGATCGAAATAAATTTTTGGTCCCTCCGATAACAAGTAAATTGCTGATGAGTGGTTATGAGCCATWAAAGCAGTCGAACGAGTCAAAAAGGTTTGCAAAAATTTTGGTATTCCTTCGTGTAAAGTTCGATAGTATCTGTACCTAGTACAGTACGTACCGTAAGTAACGTACCACCCGTTGGTAATATTTTGAAAGGGCAATAAACAATAAACAAATCACAACATGCAGAAAATTAAAAGATTCTCTCTCTAAATTTTAAAACAATCATAGTGATGCAAAGTACTAGTACTAGTGTTGCAGTGATACTCATTTGAAGTTAAATGGCTTTCCTGCACCTAGTAGTAGTAGTAGTAGTAGTAGTACTCTAATGCACTAAATTTTTGTACATCCCAAACATGATAATAGTTGTAATAGTAGCTTGTACTGGTGGTACTTGTAACACGAAGAAGTACTACTAGTAGTTTTAGTATGATAATACACTAGTACTAAGACAGAAATGCCCATGCAGCTACTACACTTTACCATTGCAACCGAAATATGCTGCTTGCACCAAAGGCATACTAGTAGAATCTTTCAGATATCCTGGGCTTGCCAGCATGAGTGAATCAAACCTTGACTATGGCATCATNTCAAACTTAAAATATTGAATGTTAGTATATACTGTAGGCCTACATAGATCCTGGAATAATCCCTGTTCCTCAATTGGTAGTAAGGCATTGTTCTTCATTAGGTAGCCTGCTAGCATCCAAAAACTAATAATCTTGGTCTTGTTTCATAAAAAGAGGAAGAAGAGGATGCCTCCTCCCCTTTCTAACATCCAGAATGTTAATTAGAAAAACTGCAGTTCTCATTTGTGCATAGGCCTATAGTGCTAACATTTGGAATGCCCTATGAAACATAATTTCAATTGATGCGCAACACCTAGTATGATGATGCTGGGACTTGCATGTGCAGTATGTCCCTGCTACACTGATGCTGTGCAAGTACTTCCTCATCCTTCTCAAAGACACTACAGAATGATCTGCTCTGTACTGGCTAATAGAGAGATATGTGAAACAATTTGCAAGCTACTCATGCCATAAATGTAATCTGGATCTATTCTGATTTCATATTCTCAAAAAATATCTTAAGGGAGATCAGTAAATTTTGTGCAGTCTTGTACTACTGTACTCAGCCACACATAATTTACTGATCTCTCTTGAGGGAATTTTTTGAGAATACAAAATCAGATTACATATAGATTACACAGAGTAATCTAACTGAGGACAAGGACAGGTATGAGGTTGAGAGTATTGACTGAAGACCAAGACTGAGACTGAGGCTGAAGTTAGATTACTGTACAAATCAAACTGCAAATGAGGTTAAGAGTGTTAGTATCTTGAGACTGATGCCAAAGTATGATTACCAAAGAGTGCTGGTGATGAGCTTGCCAATGATTTATGTAATTGCCAAGTTGCTCAATTTTTGCTTGTATGAATTGCTAATAAGGGACACTGGCATGCATTACTACTGATAGGAAGACACTGGATACAGAGGGCACTGATATGAGTTGCTGATATGTAGGCCACTGATACTAGTACAAGTTGCTCAGGAGCTGCTGCTGATACAGACAAGCACGTTGATAGAGTACCGATACAATATCGTATAGCGTTGGCCAGCTAATGTACGGTCTCAGTCGTACATTTTGGGCCATCTTTTCCCCGTGTAAAATATGTCGAGCGCGCCGACTGACATCATGAAATCTTGTCGGAACACACCATTTTTTCTATAGAATTTTTGTCATGATGTCTGTCGGAGTGCTTGAAATAAATTCTCGATGAACATATTTACCTACAATAACATCCGATGCTGCACCAATACTGATCGATGATGCCAATACCAGCAAGGCAACTCCTTGTCAGTTGTCAGACACAGAGGAGTCCTCACAGCCATGTGCTGAAGCTACCATAATTCCAGTGAGAGCGCTTCTCGTTCCGACAACCGACATCTTCTTGCCCCCCCTCCACCGCCACCGACACTAATCAGCATCCTCACTAAGAAGCAACACTAAATATCCAGCAAGAATATCAGCAACAGTATCACCACCAGTAACAGTATCAGCAACGCCATCGATCCAAGCAAGCCTCAGACGCATCGACGCTATCAGCAACGAATTGATGTTATCAGCATCCTCCGTATCAGCATCCTCCGTATCAGCATCCTCCGTATCAGCAACAGTATCAGCAACACTATTCAGCAACACTTCAGCATCCATATCAGCACGCCTCCAAACGTCCTCCGTATCAACACTATCAATCCAAGGAAGCTTCCAACGCGTCAACGCTATCAACGAATTGATGAATCGTTGATATCAGCAATGCACAACGCAGGAACAGTATCAGGAACAGTATCAGCAACACTATTCAGCAACACTCCAGCATCCGTATCAGCAGACACCGTATCAGCACGCCTCTAAGCGTCCTCCGTATCAGCAACACTATCAGCAACACTCAAGGAAGCCTCCGATGCCACTCAACAATATAACCAACCGACGTTCAACAAGAAACACAAGGACAACATGACAACCAGCCATCTTTGAGTCTCAAGAATCCGCCTTTGAAGCTGCCTCTGAGTTAGAATCAGATGTGGAAACTTTGTTTGAGGATGAGGACAGCTCAAGTGATGAGGAAGTTGAAGAAACTGAGCCTAATTATGATTCAGAAGCTTCTGGAATGAGTGACGAGGAGGCTGCACAAGCAGAGTTCTTTAATGTAATCACTCAGAGTCAACAAACAGCTTGGAATTGGGACAATGCANAAATATGCTGCTTGCACCAAAGGCATACTAGTAGAATCTTTCAGATATCCTGGGCTTGCCAGCATGAGTGAATCAAACCTTGACTATGGCATCATTGCTTCAGTTCTAGACGACATCTCATGTGGKATTTCCCTGTGATGAAGAATCTYATCAAGGATGCAATCCTGAGGATTGTTGATCATCGAGCTGTTTGAGAGTTTGTTTGTCAATCTCCAACCGCTGAGAAATCTTTTCCAGTAATCGTTCCTCCCTCAACACTCTGTACTGTGCCCTCGCTCGAAGCTCCTCCGTGGATGGTGCTTGATTKAGGTTGGAGGTTTTGATGGCGGAAGATTTCGTCACTGCCGCCTCTGTGGACGACGACGAAGGTGGAAGCATTTTTACTCCATTGCTGTTCGACGGACCTGCGAGAACCGTTTCGACCGTCAGCATGTTCGGCACTGGCCRTGCGCTATATGGAGACGGCTGGTCTCTAATCATGGACAATCCCGCACCGTATCCAATGCAAGCCGAGAGAATGGTCGCACTAACCAAAGCGGACATCGCTGCTGTGCCACCAGGAAGCAACCAGCGTGGGATGGAGGGCTTTTCACCATCCYCTCTAACACTGTCTCTGCTGATCTCCTGGGTATTTGGTCTTAATTTATTTCCRTCTTTTGTATGCCATTTGTCGAACATCATTGGTTGGCCTAGTTCGTAGATTCTACCCCCTACCGCTTCGATATATCCTCCGGGAAATAAAGAGACCACACGTGACGATCCGTCCGCAAACGGRTCTCCCTCCAAACGCCCAATCGAGTGGTAATGAAACCAGATCGTGCGTCGTCCTTCGCTATTTCCATTTCCAATTTGACCAACTGCTCTGTTGTCTTGTTGCTCGACATCTATTTTCCAATTTTCCAAGACTGGTGGAGAGTCCCCAAACACAAGCAATGATCTGCGTCCTCTCCTGTTTTCGCTCTTCTCCATGATCGCGACGGTAGCTTGCCTTTCCTGCTGTAGTTCGAGAGTTCTTTGGTATAGATCCTCTGGCTCTTTTCCGGAAAAGAAGGCGGAATTCGCGGACCAGAGTTGGGTCCAAAACGTCTTCGTCTCTGTCGTGGTAGACACAGTAAATAGGGGCAGATTATCCACCAACGCCCAATCTTCTTCCATTGTCCAATTAGCCGTTCCCTCTTCATCGTCTAGGTGGCCATTGTCGTCCTTGATCAAAGCAAGTGGTGCACACCCCGAAACGAATAGAGTTCTTCCGTGGTTGCTGCTGCCTCGAGTTTGAAGAAAAGAAGGRAAACCCTTCGCGTAGTCTGCTAGATGTGACAGCGCAGCAATCGCGATCAAGTAAGAACAGTGGACGAGAATCATCTCAAAGGTTTCAACAGATTCCGGCTTTCATTGGGTCGGTACTGCAAATGGTGGTGTCGTTCTTGTAGGCGCGTGCAACTTAGAGACAGTCAACAAAAGAACACCAAACAGTCGCACATACTTGACGATATTGCCTTCTCGGGTGTCGATACGAGGCATGGCAAGCTTCTATTTTCTTCCCAAGAAGATACAGAATGGTTTTATTCTTCATTCTTCTTCGATGGATGCTTCATTCATTCACGTTTTCTGGAGTCACGCGCGACAGAAGTGTAATTCGGGATTCCCCAACCACGCCAAAATACTATCGAGAAGGGCATTAGTAACTACAGTATGTGTTTTATTGAGCGTCTTANAAGCTAGATATCTTCAAGCTCCAGCAGCATGGGCTCATGAAGGATTGCATTGAGAACGGTGATGCGTTCTTCTTCTATCAGTTGCTCCTTCCTATTGCTCCCGACTCGGCGGATGCTCAGCGGTACCAAATTGAACCAGAGAAGAAGTTCACGTATTACAACAAGGTCATGAGATATACCAATATCTACATCATGGATGCAAATGAAGGGGAAGGACACCAAGTGAAACCTGTAACTTTACCTGAAGCAGTTCATTTTGATGGCATCCTGTTTATGCATGATGGAGCTTGTGAAGGAGCAAGTGAGAATATAAAGTTTAGATGGGATGCTAAAGATCTTTCATTTAACGAGGACATTGCACATACAATGACACACACTAGGTGGCATGAGATCAAAAGAAACTTGAAGCTATGCAAAAACGATGTGCAAAGGGACTCTGGGAATGTAGCTTACAAGTTTGACTTCATCTATCACGCTATCGTGAATAACACGAATTACTTCACGGAGTACGCTGGCTTGGATCTATGTATTGACGAGACCAGCTGGCCCTATCAAGGCTTTGGTGGTCCGCTTGTTAACTACTTGAAAGGAAAGATGATTACAAGGGGTGGACAGACTGTCGTGATGTCAGATGTGGATCAGATCAGGCCGAGGGCATGGAAACATAGATACCGTGGGTGGAACCCCGATGGTGAGAGGCATTCCTGCACCGGCCCAGCTGAAGCGCATCACCTTGTTGACAACTTTGTTATTCCTAACATAGGACCCGGAAAGATTTGGAGATTTGGACCTCGTGTGACAGCAGACAATTTCTTTGTATCAGATTCGATTTTGGATTGGATGGGTGAGCAAGGCTTGGGGATGATGGGAACTGTTGCTAAGAACAGGTTGCCAGCAAAGGTTCCAGGAAAGTATTTTCATAAGAAGAATGCCGCTGGTGATTCAAATGGAAAATTGCGGGCGAAAGCGGCACGTATGGCGAAGCCCATAACTGCAGTGAAAAATACCAGCAGATCTGGAGGAGGGCAAAAGAGCGTACAGACGAGTCCATTGTTCATTCCAGAGCACAGGAGCATGCAACTTGGGATCAGTGAACTCTATTTCCTCTTCAACTTTTTACATCCATCAGAAGGAACGCGGAAGGGGAAAAGAGAAGCTTGTATGGGGCATTGAAATGAATGAGTCTCGTGAGGTTTATCTGTATTCTTATGGGAAACTGGACCATATTGATGCATACATCTCCAGAGCCAATATTGGTTATAAATCGTGGAATTACTATCATGCGGCAATCAATCATGCAAAGGCGTTGGAAATTGCTACAGCCTACGATATCTACAAGAAGGAGTGTACTGACGGAAGCCTGGGTGATGAGTGGAAGTTGAGCAACGTCATGAGCTGTCGCGAGTTCCGTCAGAGGCTTGCTTTGCAAATGATAAAGTATGATCCTGTCGAGCAGGCATACAACTGTGATACTAGATTGAGGCAGTGTACAAAAGCAACACAAAGAGTAAGAACAGGCAGGGCAACTAGAAGAAAAGCATGTAAGACTTTCCTGAGGAATGGCAAGTTACTTGGATATCACAATTTGCAAACTATTGCAGAGTATAAGGCAATGGGAAGGTTTTGCTTCACTCAGACTCAGTATGCAAATCATCTGAAGGCAGTTGGGCCTACGAAGTCGAGAAATAGAAACATCTGCTACATGTGTGGCGGCAATACCTATAGTATGTGCCAGATCTGCAAAGTCCCCCTCTGTGTAACATCAGGAAATACAAAGAAGAGGAAATGTAATGGTGATCCCATTGAGCCGCCCAAGTTTTGTCATAGCAACTATCACAACTATGAATGGTTTGGACTTGGGAGGGGTGACTACTGCTCTAGAGTAAGAAATGACAAGAAGGTAAAAGATAGGACCACAAAGTGGAAGCCTCCAACCAAAGAAGAGTTGGAAGACAATACTGAGTACATGAAATACTTATTGGGCATTGAGGATGATGAGGACGACACTGACTTTGGTGATGGTGATGGTGTTGCGTGGTGTTGTTGTTTCACCAAGCAACATGACCGTTAACAGTGAAGTAACTTTACCGACTGAGAGTAGTACCACTACTGGGTTAACAAGCTCAGTGGTTGGATCATTAGAATCAGTGTAATAAATGAAATACCAGTTATATTGCTTCTTATTCTTGCTTCTTGCGTATGAACTAAACTCCTCCGTATCAGCAAACTCCTTTGGTTGCTTCCTCCGTATCAGCAAACTCCTCCGCATTGCTTCCTACGTATGAACTAAACTCCTCCGTATCAGCAAACTCCTACGTTCATTTAAACTCCTCTGTATCAGCAAACTCCTCCGTATGAACTAAACTCCTCCGTATCAGGAAACTCCTCGAACTAAACTCCTCCGTATCAGCAAACTCCTTCGGTTGCTTCCTCCGTACCAGCAAACTNTCCTCCGAAAAAGGCACAATTCTGTCAGTCGTAAAGCATTGCACACACTTATCAATGCTGTTGGATGCACCAACACGCAAACACACACTTCAGAAACGGGTACGAACGAGTACACGTCAAAAACTTTGAGCTTCGTTCGTTCCGGTACAGTAGCCTACCGTACGTACGCTTACCCGTAATCAACTTTTAAAAAGAGTACGAWAGCAAATCTCTTGCGGAGCATTGCGCATCGGACAGTACGTACTGTACTTACCATACTGTAACAGCAGTAAAAGAAGTACAGTACGACTTCCAAACCAAAGTTTTTATCAACGAAACGACTACGTTACCGTACATAATGATACGACGCGCCAACGTACAAACTTTTTCGAACGACTCCCCCAAACTTTTGAAAGACTAGGTTACAGAACGGCATGAAGCACGTTGTCACAACAATTGATGGGYTATCTATCTACCTTCGCTAGAACTGCAGTGCCGTTTTCGCTACCGGCTGGAGAAAAGTACTCGTACAACCATGACTGGACAGCAGGAGAGGGAGCTGTACTGGTACGATGACGCAACCTACGACATTGGCTTTTATAACTAYTACCAACGAACGGTGGATCCAAGCCCATGGGCGTTCATAGTTTGCCTCTTGTTCTGTATCATAATGGCGCTGCTGCTTCCCCGCTATCTTGCGTACTATCGATCAATTCATACGAGTAAYTTAAAGAAAGCATATTCAAGCAATAATATAATACAGCTCTGGTCCCAGGCATWTAGGGCAAACGACGCGGTTCCAAACGGCAACAACGACGAGACGATCAGGACGCAGAACAAAAGAAATATCTACCTTCCATCGCTAAACGAAGAAAACGAGTCTGGTGAGAATTCGGAGAAGGACGAGGAAGCCAACGGGTCATTCCGACGGAAGGTGATGAGGGAAAGGGCGTTGCAATCACTCTGTCACTTCGTTCGCGCACCAAAAAGCGAAATCGACAATTGCATCAATAGTCAATCCAAGACTGAAGAGACGCGGGTTCCCACAACRGACTATACTAGCATGGAAGATCGTGCATGTGACGACGATGCTAAGAACGACATCGATTCTTCGGGGTATGGAGAATTTGTAACCACGGAAGCTGAAATACCACCAAGCCAGGATCTGACGGAACCAAACGATGCGAACGATCCACTTCCTCCCGAATATCTGTATGATGACCTCACCAGGGATGCGGAATCATGTGTATCATCTGTTTTGTCYGAGAACACGAATCCTTTTCACATAATCAAGAACGATTTCAGAGATTTCACAAGAAACAGACATCCCGACRAAAGTGTATCTGTAGCTAGCGGCTGGGAAGAAGACTTTGATCCGTCGACGCAAAACACGATATACTTTCATCCCGCAACAGGAGCTAGAACCACAGAAAAACCCTTGGAACCACATTCTGAGAACTTTCGCCCGTGGTACCTGTTCTATACCTCGCCTTCCTTTCGAAGAAAAATGCGAAAATGCAGCAAATGGGACGACGAGATGCAGAAAATCATAGGCCTCGCCCTCCCGTACACTGCTCACACGATAGCCGTTGATATATTTGGATTGCTGGAGGTTGGTGTCATTGGAAGATTACTMGGTACGACCGAGCTATCTGCCTACTTTGCCACAGAATTTGCTATCAGCTTTGCAACCATGTTTTTTCATGGCATTCTGGCGAGTTTAAAAGTTCTAGTGAGCCAGGCCCACGGAGCAGACAACATAAGGTTGGCAGGAACCTATGTCCAAATCGGCGTGTGGACGCACCACCTATTTTCTTTGCCGCTGGTTCTCTATGGTTGGAATCATTTCGATGATGTCGTACTCCGTTTGGGTCTTGACGAAGGAACAGCGGAGTCTGCCGACCAATACGCTAGATTTGCCTTGATCTACGAAGCGATAGGAATTTACGACGGTGCCTTGCACTGTGTTTTGGACGTCACTGGACATGAAAAATACTCGGCAATATCGAACGGATTCCGTGCATCTTTAAGCTTCCTTGCAGTCCTCATTGTCTCTGTTATGTTGAATAAGGGAGCTGAATTGTGGATGGTAGGAGCAATCCATTTGGTCGCGAAGGTGTTCTTTTTCTTCTTCAATATGTCGGTAATCCTRTACCAAAAATGGCTGGATAATTACTGGAGTGAAATGGTGGGYAACAATCCGTTCAGTCACATGGCCCCGATTAAAACCTTGTGGAAGGCTAGTCTCCGTCTTTCGTCCGGTCGAGTGATTGAAAATTGCGAATGGAACATTCTTTTTGTATTCTCTGCKATACAAGGTCCTGCAGAAGTTGCAATCTGGGGTTTGGTTGGGGAGCTTTGGGACTTTGCTGACGATATTGTCATAGCTGTTTCCGATGCATCCAAAGTCCGATGCGCACATCTCTTGGGGTCGGGTCTACCGGAACAGGCGAAATATTGTTCGGAAAAATCRCTATTTATAGGTGTTGTTACTTCGATAATCATGTCGGTATCACTTGGAATTCTGAGATCGAATATACCGAGATGGTTGACTAATGACTTTACATTGCAACGCTTATTAGGGGATATGATTCCGATGGTATGTCTTGCTGTGGCGACYCTATCGTTTGGAAGTCTATGYTCCTCTATATTGTGCGCTCAGGGTCGTGCACATCTGGCAACTGCTGTCACAGGCTTTGGCAGCCTTGCAATAGCTTTGCCACTTGCATTGATGTCAAATTTCTGTTTCAATTTGAATCTGCAAGGCCTCATAGCTTCGCTCATCATTGGCTATGCTACTTCTGGCTTCTGCAACTCAATTCTGATGTTGACATCAAACTGGACGCACATCTCGAGAAAGGTTAGAAAAAGGACGAGTCGAATYGAAGTSAAGCTCGAAAAGGATAAGATGCTGTATAATGCCACAACAGACACAGCAGTTGTGGATGGAAAGGTTGAAGCTTCCGGGGATTTAACTTGACGTGYAGTTTTGGTCGATACGAAYKAGGTACAAATGCAGGAAATACCGACACGACTCTTCCAGAAAGTCCACCATGGTCGATTTTTCTTTCTTGTTATGACATGGTCGGAAAGTTCATATTATAAGGAAAGATGCGGATCGTGAGCAGACAAGACTTCATCTGTTACCAAGATTGGAAAGTATTGTTTTCGACACNTCCTCCGTATCAGCAAACTCCTTCGGTTGCTTCCTCCGTACCAGCAAACTCCTCCGCATTGCTTCCTATGTATGAACTAAACTCCTCCGTATCAGCAAACTCCTCCATATCAGGAAACTCCTCCGTATCAGGAAACTCCTTCGGTTGCTTCCTACATATGAACTAAACTCCTCCGTATCCGCAAACTCCTTCAGTTGCTTCCTCCGTATCAGCAAACTCCTCCGTATTAGCAGCTCATGCTGATTCGGTTGCTTATTCCTTAAATATGAATAGTATGCTCATTCGGTTGTTGCTTTTTCGGTTGCTGATTCGGTTGCTGATTGGGTTGCTGATTCGGTTGCTGGTTCTCACGATTCATCTCCTCATAGTCAGCTGAATCAAAGGATAAGCTCCTTTGATCATACATGGGATGTCCCCACTCATCAAAGGCAAATTCTTTTGCACACTGAATGCAGGGGGTTTCATTCTTTTCCCTCTTCATAACAGACCTGTAGATCTCAAAGAACCACTCATGTTTATCCCCGACACTCATCGTTGGAGGCAAGAGAGGCTTTGCAAATTGAGCTAACTCAATTGCCTTTGCCAGATCTTTCTTCTTTAGGCAGGTCTTCTTCAGACAACCAGCACAGGTCTCATTCAGCTCTTTGTTGTATGGTGTCGGCTTTTGGTCCCATTCCCAATCCTCCACCCACTTCCAGTCTTGATTCATTATAAACCGTACTTTCGGGGATGTATGATTGTCGATTATTTCTGGTGGCGGGGGCTCGGGAGGTTCAGGGGGATTGACTGAAGTATCCATAACTATTTGGATCTTCCATCCAACGCCTGGGTCAATTTGTTGTTGCTTTATTAACTGTGCTGCTTCCCTTGCCTTTGCTGCTGAATACCACTTCATCTCCATGTTGCCCTTTACAATCGCGAGCTTCCGCTGCGGCATCCAGTGCTTATACGCACAGGCTTTGGGTCCTTTGTAAACAAGCATCTGGGCTTGGTGTCTTGCCTTCTTTGTTTTTTCTCTCCTCCTGTTCAATTTAACTCTTTGCTTTGGATGGCAACCAAATAAGACTGCTCCAGTGCGTCGTGGAGGGACTGAGTCTGGGGAGCTTGCAGGGTAGCGTCGATATATGTCCTTATGGATATCTTTGACTAGGAAGTCTGGTGTTTTTAGAGTCGGTTGCTCATCTTGCTCATCTTGCTTCTTTTGCTTGTTATTTTGCTTATTATGCTGCTCCTTGCTTTTTCCAGCAGTATCCTCCATACTTGGCAGGGGTAGTCTCAGTCACAGCGTGTATTGTTCTCGATTGATTTTAAGAGAAAGAAATGGGATCAATACAGCGTGTTAAAAGCATGGGGAAATGGTTCCGACACGGTTCCTTCTGATAAACCGGAAACAGAACAATTGTATGAAGGAGGTGTGCTGCCAATCAAACACGATTAGTGGCCTAATTTGTGAGCAAGTTTGTCTGTTGAAGTGGAGTGTGTCCGTTGTGGGACTGAAATCCGTTGAGTCAAAGTAGTCTTTACACAGTAATTAGATGGCCGGTAATCCACGCACACGTATAATTTAACCGTATAACTGATTAAGTCTTGAACTGACAGTTTGGACTGTAACTTTTTCCTCAACGGTCGCAGAAAGACAATAAGCACATGGTCGTTGAAAAGAGAATTCAAAGAGCTTTCTAATGGCGTGGGGGAGTACAGCGTACGATGAATATTGACTGATATACGTTTACGTATACAATGAATTGCTAATGTACGACTGGTACGTCTTTTTTTGCTTGGCCCACGCTATACGATAGTAATAGTGATAATGACAGTACAAAATGTGTATTGGAAGTCGTACTCTAATTATTGTATTCTGGTTCAGCCTAACTGGGTCATATCGGAATACAATTTTGGAACACAGTACTAATCCTATCAACAGGAATGTCTTCCTTTGAGGTGTAAGAAATAAGACAAAAAATAACTTGTGTTTCTTAGTGCAATTCCAGTGTCACTTTATTAATCTTGTGTTTGTGGTGAATACAAACAAAAAGTGAGCAACTTGACAATTATGTAATATAATTGGCAAGCTACAACATACAAAGGCAAATGAGGGCAAGACAGGTTCAGAGTTGGTACAAATTGTACATAGCTCAACAGAGGGAACAATATCCTTTATTTACCTTCCCAACTTCAACCTCCTGTCTCAAAATTAAATAAAACAAGAAGTATTTTTCTTATATCAAAATATTTGGTAGTACTAATTTGTACATAGGGTGCTACTGACCTTGGGGACAATAGTACCAAGGGCAAATCAATCTGAGACTTCTGGATCCCCTTCTTGTTCTTACTACTAGTATTATAATGAAGTTATTCCAGTATGTGTGTTTGTGGGAAAATGTCCTACTAGTAATAGTAGCTTTGTCAGAAGGGCAAGACAAGAAGTCTTCTTGTGCTTATATTTTTTTCTGAGCCAGTGCTCAACTGCACATAATTTTCTCCTTACAGCACTCTGCATTGCAGATAAATTGAAACTGCATTTCACAGGACATTCCCAATTGGGAACCGTTACTGGAAACCTACTGTACTAAATTTTAATTACTGGAAATCTACCGATTGTATTAAAAACATCTTTCTTTACTGGAAATCTACCGATACACTTTCTTCTTATCTATTTCAACCTTTTTTTAACCTCCATTTTCCGTTCACGTACGCTAGTCTCCCTCACCTCCCTCACCCCCTCTCGCTCTACTTCAGAACACCTTTTATTTCCAAAGAGGACCTTCCAACCGGAGAGGTGTTTCCGTTCGACAGGAAGTATAAAATATACATTATTCAAAATAATCATAACAACGTGTCATTCTTGGTTGGAGGTTTACGAAGCACGTGTCATTCTTGGTCAGGGGTTAAAAAAAGGTTGAAATAGATAAGAAGAAAGTGTATCGGTAGATTTCCAGTAATGTAAGATGTTTTTAATCCAATCGGTAGATTTTGAGTAACTAAGAAAACGAACGGTAGGTTTCCAGTAATGGTTCCTTCCCAATTGTAATTTAACATTCCAAAAGTTAAAAATAACGTTTCAAATGTTCCTTTTTTCATATGATTCGCATCGAATACAAAGGAACGTTTCAAGAATAAAGATCTCAAATTCGCTAAACGCCGAACGAAGTAACAAAGTTCATAATCACTACTAACTCTTGCTATAAAACGAATCATTGGTAGCACAAAGAGTTCCAATTCCGATGACGGTACGAACAGGTACGCAAAAAAGAACGATCTTACTTTGTAGAGAAAGCACTCCTCTATACTCGATATTTCCATTTCTTGACCTACACCTTATACCTTTTTCTTTCAGTGGGCAATCATTTAGGTGTTGACAAAACGAAAGATGATCCCGAAGCTATCCCAATAGCCACATCTGTTAAGGTCATTGCACCTGCTGAATTGAAGCCAACGCCACTCGAAATTCCCACTGGGTCGGCTGNCATGGTCGGAAAGTTCATATTATAAGGAAAGATGCGGATCGTGAGCAGACAAGACTTCATCTGTTACCAAGATTGGAAAGTATTGTTTTCGACACTACAAACTTAGCCAGAACAATCTTGCAAAAGCTCCATCCATTCGCATTGCAGAGACACTATTTGATGAGGAAACTCTCACTGATAAATTCACAATCAGCGATTTATTGCGCGTCGGTTGAAAACATAAGGTACAGCTATTTGTACAAGACCAAGAGTCATGGAAAGGGTGGCTAACCTTTCAAGTTTTCTGCCATGTGCATCACTTTTAAGTGAAGCTCTATTGTGATCTCCACAATCATTCTTCTCCTTTTGTTAACCAGGAACCTATTGATAAAATACATTGGTCCCATCAAAATAGGTGTGTGTTATTCTCCTTGACAAATATGAACAGTAATAATAATACAAGATACATGTTTGAAAAATACTGCAAGTTTTCGTTGCTTTTAGTACCATAGGAAGAGCGTTAGTAGTACTGGTAAACAGGCTGTGAAAATAAGAAATGTCAGGTCAAGACTATGAGTACAGTACTCAATTTTATCTTTTGGTCTCCATTTCAAATTTAAGCATCATTTTTGAAGACAATTCACAGCAATATTACCAAGTCCGGCATGTAGAAATGGAATGATATCTACAACCTGACAGAAAATTCCAATCCAGAAGTAAAGTATGGTGTTAGATTTCTTGTTCTATAATATTGCAGCTTTGGAAATTGCCCCTTCTGAATGAGCAAGGATTTGTTCTGATTGGAAGATCATGATACTTCTTCTGTCTCACTATGAATGTCCTTTGACTCCGGTTTTGCTGTCCATGTTTGAAAGTCCCCTTGTTATTTACTTAACACTTTCTTTCAATATTCTTAACCCCCAATAAAATATGACTGTGTACAATGCATAGAATCAGTACCATACAAAAAAATGAGCATGCCTGTTGTGATTAAAATTAATTTTTCAGACACAAAAGTACACATATGAGTACTATTAACATGGCAAATGCAATTTTCACAATGGCAAGGTGCATCTCTTTTGAACAATATCAATTGAAATTATGTTTCACAGGGCATTCCAATTGTTAGAATTAAGGTTTCCGATGTTAAATTAAAGTCCCCAATGATATCAAACTTAAAATATTGAATGTTAGTATATACTGTAGGCCTACATAGATCCTGGAATAATCCCTGTTCCTCAATTGGTAGTAAGGCATTGTTCTTNAGGTACAAATGCAGGAAATACCGACACGACTCTTCCAGAAAGTCCACCATGGTCGATTTTTCTTTCTTGTTATGACATGGTCGGAAAGTTCATATTATAAGGAAAGATGCGGATCGTGAGCAGACAAGACTTCATCTGTTACCAAGATTGGAAAGTATTGTTTTCGACACAACAAACTTGGCCAGAAAAATCTTGCAAACGCTCCATCCATTCGCATTGCAGAGACACTATTTGATGAGGAAACTCTCACCGACAAATTCACAATCAGCGATTTATTGCGCGTCGGTTGAAAATATAAGGTACAGCTATTTGTACAAGACCAAGAGTCATGGAAGGTGGCTAACCTTACAAGTTTTTCTGCCATGTGCATCACTTTTAAGTGAA